GTCCTTCCTTTCTTTCACTGTCTCCATCTACCTTCTCCTCCTCCTCAATTAAATACCGAACCCTAGATACCAGCTTTGGCCTCCTGGCCCTGCAGAGCTCCTCCCAGCCTCTTCCACTCTTCACAGGGACACTGTGGCTCCTGCTGGGCCTTCAGTGCCACGGGGGCTCTGGAGGGTCTGCTCTTCAAGAAGACCGGCAAGCTGGTCCCCCTGAGCGAGCAGAACCTCATGGACTGCTCCTGGAAGCTGGGCAACAAGGGCTGTCATGGAGGCTACGTCAGCCACGCCTTTGAGTACGTTCGGGACAACCGAGGCATCAATTCGGAGCAGGATTATCCTTACCAGGAGAAGGTGAGAGAGGGAGACGAGGTGGACATGGGCAAGGCGTGATCGACCGACGGAAGAGAATCTTTGTGGCTCAGAGTGGAGCTGTGGGGTCCTCGGGGCCCTCTGAGCTGTGTCCTTTTCTTACAGACGTCTCATGACCCGACTAGGTAACGTCATCAGACATGAGAGCAGCCTTCCAATATCTCAGGGGCTGCCCCAAAGAAGAGTGAGTCAAGCTATTCTCCAAAGCACCTGAAGGCAGGACAAGAAGCAACAGATGGAAACTAATCAAGGAGAGAAGCAACCTAGAACCAAGGAGAAACTTCCTGACAGTGAGGACAACCTGCCTCCAGAAATAGTGAATGCTCCAACACTGGAAGTTTTCAAGAAGAGACTGGACAGCCATTTGTTTGAAATGGTATAGGGTTTCCTGCCTGAGCAGGGGGTTGGACTAGATGACCTCCAATGTCCCTTCCAAACCTGATTCTATGTTCTATGGGCCAATCTCAGAAAAGGCTGCTAAACTTCCCCTGCGTCTTCCTGTCCCATCTCTACAGGACGAGATACTCTACTCTACTCTACTCTACTCTACTCTACTCTACTCTACTCTACTCTATTCTGAAGAAGCCCACCCCCTTCCAGCACTGATGATGTTACCTAGTTGGGTCATGAAATGTCTGCAAGAAAAGAACCAATCCAGAGAGCATGAAGGACCCCCCCCCCAAGACTATGTTTGTAGTTATTATTCTTCTATTTACTGGCCATTTTGTTGATTACACAATGAACAGTATGTTACTTAAAAGGTCATACTCTACAGGTGCTCCTCGACTTACATCGATTCAGTTAGTGACCCCCTCAAAGTTACAACAGCACTGAAAAAAGTGACTTAGGAGTTGAAGTCCACAAGTCTTAAAGTTGCCAGAGTTGAGGACCCCTGTTCGATGGAAGATGGGTTTGACTATTTTCCAGCCTGCAGGCAAGGGATGCGGGCTTTCCTACGTATCTCAGGGATCAAGCTATTCCATAAAGTGAGGACCACCACTCTTAGCCAAAACAGCAACTGGATCTACTGTAGCCAAATGCTGAATTTGTCCCCCCACCCCCGCGAAGTAGCAAATCTCAGGGTAATTCTGCTGAGTCTCAACTGGCAGCAGTTTGGCAATTCGAGTCTCTCCGACTCAAACTTGACTCAGCCTTCCGTCCTTCCGACGTCAGTAAAATGAGGACCCAGAGTGTTGGAGCAGTGGGCAGATAGGCTGACTATAAATTGCTCAGAGAGGGCTGTCAAAGCACTGTGAAGCGATATACGTCCAAGTGCTATTGCTATTTATTCTGTGCAGTGCACTAAATCACACATGGAGAGCTAATTTGGCGTCTCAGTTTGATTGCTACAATTTAAGAAAGATGTTGAGACTCTAGAAAGAGTGCAGAGAAGAGCAACAAAGAGGATCAGGGGACTGGAGGCTAAAACATATAAGGAACGGTTGCTGGAATTGGGGATGTCTAGTTTAATGAAGAGAAGGACGAGGGGGGACATGATAGCAGCCTTCCAATATCTCAGGGGCTGCCCCAAAGAAGAGGGAGTCAAGCTATTCTCCAAAGCCCCTGAAGGCAGGACGAGAAGCAATGGATGGAAACTAACCAAGGAAAGAAGCAACCTAGAACTAAGGACAGTTAGAACAATTAACCAGTGGAACAACCTGCCTCCAGAAGCGGTGAATGCTCCAACACTGGAAGTTTTTAAGAAGAGATTGGACAGCCATTTGTCTGAAATGGTATAGGGTTTCCTGCCTGAGCAGGGGGTTGGACTAGATGACCTCCAACATCCCTTCCAACCCTGATTCTATGTTCTATGGGCCAGTCTCAGAAAAGGCTGCTAAACTTCCCCTGCGTCTTCCTGTCCCATCTCTGCAGGACGAGTTCGAATGTCACTACAACCCAACAACTCGGGTGGGCAACTGCACGTCCTTAGTGCGGATTCAGTCACAGAATGAGGCAGCCCTGGAGCAAGCTGTGGCCACGATGGGGCCAGTATCCTTGGGTGTGGACGCGAAGAATTTCGGATTCCATTTCTATAAGTCGGGTAAGGAGAACTGAGGCAATTGAGGATCTGTAGAGCCGGGGTCTTCAAACGTGGCCCTTTTATGACTTGTGGACTTCAACTCCCAGAATTCCTCAGCCAGGCACACTGGCTGAGGAATTCTGGGAGTTGAAGTCTGCAAGTCATGAAGGGGCCATAGTTCCCCCATGCTGGCTGAGGAATTCTGGGAGTTGAAGTCCACAAGTCCTAAAAGGGCCAAGTTTGAAGACCCCTGAATTAGAGAGTGCTGACTCATGCATGAGGCAATCTACACTCTGATTGGTTGCTGTGAGTATGAAGGGGGCGTTTCCCTTTTTTCCCGCCTTTTTTCCTCTGGGTGTTCTGTATACTGTTTGATTTACCTCAGGATATCCCTATGTGCCTGACTATCTTGTGTTTTTCCTTTCTGGGTGATGATAAAAATGTAAATTTAAATGTGCCTGGCTGAGGAATTCTGGGAGTTGAAGTCCACAAGTCCTAAAAGGGCCACGGTTGAAGACCCCTACTGTAGAGTAATCTGATGGCTGTAAGATAGATCTGTGGGCTAAATAAAGACAGTCCTCATTTAGTGATTGCTTCAGACAATGACCATTCACCGTTACTCATGAAAAAAGTCACTTTGCGAGCCATCCTTGTCTTGAAGAGCTTCATGGCTCTTTAAAGCAAAAGAAAGTCGGTGCCAGAATCCAATTATATTTCATCTTTGGTTATCAAATATAGAAAACCCCAATTCTGCCTTCTCTGGATTCTGCCATAAGAGGGAGAGAAGGGGGAGAACAAAAGGGCTTTATGGCCCTCACTTCCTTCAGTATACTTCTAAGGAACTGAATGTGTGTATTGCAACTTCAAAGAGTTTGAATGGGGTTAGCACCAAAAGGCCTTATCATAACAAAGGAGGCTATTTACCTTTCATGTAGTTTATCTGAAGTCTCCATCCAGACGGAAGAAAGGAAAAAAGGGGTGGGATTGTGATGCCTGAAACTGTCACTGGAAGAGGGGGGTGATTGGGTGGGACTACTGGGGAACCCCTTAAAACCTCGAATGGGAGAGCTTGAACCTCAAGTCCTGTCTAGAACGCCTGCAACCATTTTCTCTTAATAAAGGATCCCTGTTGGAAGAAATATTCCAAGAGTTCTGTCTTCTTAAGATGCAAAGTGGGGTGGGTCCTTACATTCGGATCGTGGGCACAGGACCCTTTCATTTAGTGATTGCTCTGCTTAATGACCAAGTCACTGGTGCCAATTTTGCTTGCTGAAACAAGGATGGCCTCTATTGGGTTTGGGTAAAATCTTCAGTTCTAAAAGGGAGTGAGGTTTGCTCTCTGCTTATATTTACATACCATTGGGTTGTTTTTTTCTTGCAGACGTTGCACAACCCAATTAGGTAACATCATCAGTGCTACAAAGGAGTGGGGTTTGCTGTCTGTTTATACAGTATGTTAGTGGCAAAACAGACATCAAAAAGCCACCAAGGAAACAAAAAAGATCAAAACGCCTCCTCACCAGCAAACAACACCTAGATAACCAAAGACAACACCAAGATTTAACACTCATCGCGTAATGTTTTATTTGGTATTTTAATTGCATGACAGTAAGCCGCCTAGCGTAGAAGTCTTGGCGTAGAAGTCTAACAGTAAATAAAAATAGAGTAAATAAGTTTAACACTTATTAAATATTATTATTAAATATTAATGAGCCGAGGTGGCGTAGCAGTTAGAGTGCAGTACTGCAGGCCACTTTAGCTGACTATGTTCAGCAGGTCAACGGTTCAAATCTCACCGGCTCAAGGTTGACTCAGCCTTCCATCCTTCCGGGGCAGGTAAAATGAGGACCCAGATTGTTGGGGGCAATGTAAATATATATATATATATATATATATATATATATATATATATATATATATACACATTGCTTACTGGTGTACACCGCTTAGAAAGTGCTTGCACTTAAAGTGGTATATAAGTCTCATAAATAAATAAATAAATAAACACTATATCAACCATCAAGCAGTAAACAAATTCCCAATCAAAGAACAACCAATTCAGACCAACAATCAAACAGTAAACAACAGCCTAATCAAGGAAACATCAAGACCATCCCCACCCAATGCTGACAGGGCAAGCCACCTGTATGTAAACAGAGAGCAAACCCCACACTACTTTCCAGCACTGATGATGTTACCTAGTTGGGTTATGAAACGTCTGGAAGAAAATAACCAAGCTCAGAGAGCACCAAGGACTCCACATCAGTCAGTCAGTCAGTAAGTCAGTCAGTCTCTCTTTCTCCATCCATCCATCCATCCATCCATCCATCCATCCATCCATCCATCATCTATCATCTATCATCTGTCATCTATCATGTCTATCTATCTATCTATCTATCTATCTATCTATCTATCTATCTATCTATCTATCTATCTATCTATCTGGAGTGGGTGAATGTCTGTGGAAGAAAAAAAAGCAACTTTGGGGGTGGAATGGGCATGTACATATGTGTACATGCACAGACACAGAAGTTTAAGAGACCTCCTACTAGTACATTTTGAGGGCCATCTCTCTCTCTCTCTCTGTGTGTGTGTTCTGTTCTTCTCTGCCCAGGTATCTTTGCAAGCAGCGAGTGCACCCACAAGGTCACTCACGCCATGCTGGCTGTGGGCTACGGCACTGAGCAGGAGGGTGAGAAGACCACCGATTACTGGATCCTAAAGAACAGGTGATTAAAGAGGAGATGGCACAGGATGAAGAAGAAGGGCGTTGAAAATCAGTTCCTGGGTCAAAGTTAAATCTCATTTATTTTATCATCAGGTTTAGCTAAGAAAGTGTGAGGGGCTATTTGTTAGAACAGGGTTTCTCAGCCTTGGTAAGGTTGCCCCAGCTGGCTTTTTATGCCTAAGGTGGAACTAGAACTCACCATCTCCTGATGATTGACCCAAAGTCACCCAGCACTTTCATACCTAAGGCTAGACTACAACTCACCGTCTCCTGGTGACTGGCCCAAGATCGCCCAGCTGTTCTATACCTAAGGATGGATTAGAACTCACCATCTCCTGGTGATTGGGCTAAGATCACCCAGCTGTTTTACATCTAATGACGGACTAGAATTCACCATCTCTTGGTGTTGGCCCAAGGTCATCCAGCCAACTTTCATGCCTAAGGCACGACTAGATCTCCCAATCTCCTATTTTCTACCCTGGGGCCTTAAGCAGACCAAACTCTGCTTAAAGCAGTTCATTCTTGGCAACACAGAGGATCTGGGCCAGCTGTAGAAGGGATACAGGCAAATCTCTTGATCGGTCAAGGGTTCAAGAGCGTCGGAATTCATTGTTGGAACATATTTTTAGGCAACAACAACAATAGTATTCAGCCAGTAGATGGCAGAATTTACAAGCTTGGATCTATGGTATATAGCAGGGGTCTTCAAACTTGGCCCTTTTATGACTTGTGGACTTTAACTCCCAGAATTCCTCAGCCAGTCATGCTGGCTGAGGAATTCTGGGAGTTAAAGTCCACAAGTCATAAAAGGTCCATAGTTCCCCCATGCTGGCTGAGGAATTCTGGGAGTTGAAGTCCATAAGTCATGAAGGAGCCATAGTTCCCCCATGCTGGCTGAGGAATTCTGGGAGTTGAAGTCCGCAAGTCATAAAAGAGCCCAGTTTGAAGACTCCTGGTATATAGTGTATATACCAGGGGTAGGCAACCTTGGCTCTTTTATGACTGGCTGGCTCAGGAATTCTGGGAGTTGAAGTCCACAAGTCATAAAAGAGCCAAGGTTGCCTATCCCTGGTATATATGTTGCTTTGTTCTAAGTAGAGTTTCCTATTTCCTATTTCCTATTACAGTTATATAGTTGAGCAGTTAGGCACATGATGACTGTTCTCTTTGTTTGCTCTGTGTAATACTTTATATAAACAGGATTTCTAACAAAGAGCCAATTTTGCCACACACCATCAATTGTCCACCTATTAATCTCCCTTTCTTCCTTTCTTCTCTTTCCCAGCTGGTCTGAGAATTGGGGCGAGCAGGGCTACATGCGATTGGTGAAAGGAGTGGATAACCATTGTGGGGTAGCCAATCAAGCTTGTTATCCAACTATGTAACTGATCCAGCATCGTTTCATCCCAAATCTTCTCCGCCTCGGAGTTTCGACCTTTCCAACTGAGCTGTCCCTTGCTGGCGTCGTTGCCCCAGATTGGGTTAAAAGTTTAAATCAGGGGTCTTCAAACTTGGCCCTTTGATGACTTGTGGACTTCAACTCCCAGAATTCCTTAGCGAGGCATGCCTGGCTGAGGAATTCTGGGAGCTGAAGTCCACAAGTCATCAAAGGGCCAAGTTTGAAGACTCCTACTTTAAATCCAATGTATTTCTTCCTGGTTTCTGATCCTAGTTTTCCCACGGTGTGAAGAGTGCTCTGCTGTTGTTAGCAGCTTCCTGAATCTAATCATGAGTGGTCTGCAGTACGCAAGTTTCAATAAAGGTTCTATTGTGCTTGTTCAATGCCTAATGGAGTGATTCCTACACCTTTCCTTTATTTTTCCCTCTGTCCCAGGGGTGTCAAACTCGCTACGTCACGTGATGTGTCGCAACGTATCGTGACTTCTTTCCCATTGCTGGAGCTGGGGTGGATGTGGTTTTGGCATGACGCATCCGGCCAGTGGGCTGGCAGTTTGACACCCATGCTGTATCCCCCCCCTTTTTTTTGCATAAATGTGAATACCAATAGAAGAGAATATTTGTAGCTGAAGCTCAAGGAGGAGGAGGAGGAGGAGGAGGAGGAGGATTGTGGGGTCCTTGGTGCTCTCTCAGCTGGGTGGTTTTCTTGCAGACGTTTCATGAACCAACTAGGGAACGTCATCAGTACTCGTGATTTGCTCCCTGTTTATGTACAGTACAAATAGTCCTTGACTTACAGCCATTAGTTTAGTGACTGTTCAAAGGCACTGAAAAAAGTGACTTATGACCATTTTTCACACTTATACACATTTGCAGCATCCCCGTGGGCACGGGATCAAAATTTGGATGTTTGGCCAATGGGCCTTTTTTAAGGTTGTCCTCCTTTAGAGTAGTAGTAGTAGTAGTAGTAGTAGTAGTAGTAGTAGTAGTAGTAGTAGTAATAAAATTGGAAGGGACCTTGGAGGTCATCTAGTCCAACCCCTTGCTCAGGCAGGAAACCCTATACCAATTCAGACAAATGGCCGTCCAGTCTCTTCTTAAAAACTTCCAGTGTTGGAGCATTCACAGCTTCTGGAGGCAGGTTGTTCCACTGGTGAATTGTTCTCACTGTCAGGAAGTTTCTCCTTAGTTCCAGATTGCTTCTCTCCTTGATTAGTTTCCACCCGAGTAAGGATGCAGATCATGCCAACAGCATTGCTCCTGGTATTTTCTGTCCTTTAGATAAACCAAAACGAAGAAGACAGACTAGATAAACTGGAACTAAGGAGAAATTTCCTGACAATGAGGAGCATTAACCAATGGAACTACCTGCCTCCAGAAGTTGTGAATGCTCCAACACTGGAAAGTTTTAAGATGAGATTGGACAGCCATTTGTCTGAAATGGTAGTATATTCTAACTACTGCACCACCACGGCTCTAGAATAGAATTGAATAGAAAGAATAGAATTAGAAATGAATACAAATGAATGGAACTGGAACAGGAACAGAAACAGAATGAAATGGAATAGAGTAGTATACAGAGTAGACAAGAATAGAAAATAGAGAATGGAAGAGGAGAGGAGAGGAGAGAAGAGAAGAGAAGAGAAGAGAAGAGAAGAGAAGAGAAAGAAGCAGAGGGGCGGGGGGAAGAGAAGAGAAGAGAAAGGGGAGGGGAAGAGAAGAGAAAAGAAGAGAAGAGAAAGGAAGGAAGAGGAGAAGAGAAGAGAAAAAAAGAGAAGAGAAGAAAAGAGAAGAGAAGAGAAGAGAAGAGAAGAGAAGAGAAGAGAAGAGAAGAGAAGAAAAAAATATTCTTTATTGGCCAAGGAATTTGTCTCCGGTAAAGAAGTTCTCAGTGTATATACTTCATACCCTATCAAATAATAATAACAATAGTACCAAAACAATAAACAACAGTACCAACAATGCAAGACACAAACAGCATACAAAAACTAAAACAGAACGGCAACTACCACAACTGGACTTTGGCAGAACGTGCAAAGGATGTTTACTTTCCAGCCAGAACGGAGCGTTCAACTCGGCATGCCGAAATTGGTCTGTTGCAATCCCGACCCTCCCCATCGTCCGATTTTGGAACTGGCCTGTTTTTCCTCGGACGAAGGGCATGGCTAGATCCCTGCATGTCTGGTGGATCGAGACACATTTTAAGGTAAGTAGCGCTTTCTTGAAGGGCAGTCGAGGGTCGAGGGGGCAGTGCCACTCACCAACCAAATGAGAGCAAACAAGGGTTAAAAGAAGGCCGATATGAACAGTTCGGTCCAAAGGAAAACCAATTCAGTCCCCCCAAAATAAGACTGAAGCTTTAAAGTCGGGGAGGGCAAATTCTGTTTCTTTAATTCATTGCCATGTTTTTTTTTCTGCAATACAGTAAGTTATGGTCGTCAGTTATGCAAAAATTAGGCAGAGAACATAGATCTTCCTTCCTCCCTGGGTCTTCCGTCTTTTTCCTTCCCTTCTGACTTCTGTGTACTGGTTTTTCTTTTTTTTTTCCTTTCCTTTCCCTCTCTTTATCTGGCGCCCTCCAAATATTTAATAATAATAATAATAATAATAATAATAATAATAATAATAATAATAACAACAACAACAACAACAACAACAACAACAACAATAATAATAATAATAATAATAATAATAATAATAATAATCCCCCAGTGAGGCACTACCTTGACGTGATTGTGGGGCTTGTGTACTCTGAGGAAGATGAGAGCTATGCCAGAGGTTCAACCATACTGGACAGGTCTCATCAGAGGAGTCAGACAAAGAGTGTCTCTCCCATAAAAAATATGGTGAGACGTAAATTTCAGAATGCCATACCGGCTCGGATGTCGCCCGGGTTAACAAGGTCCGCGCTAGATATTGGAGTTCCTGGATATCTGGTGAAAAATGGGTTACAGGACTCAGGACTGTTGGCTGAGCAACCAGGGCCAGCAGCTGCAGAACTACTGGAAGAAAAGGTGTTTACCCGTCGCAGATACACAGTGATGGAAAACAAAGAAATAATGATCTGTTACTACAGATCAAGTCCAACAAGAAGAGGATATCTAAAACGAATGCACCAGTTCTGGAAACTAGCAGATCAACGCCGATTTATAACACGAAATAAAGTATTTACAGAAACAGAATTGGACGAACTGCAAAGGTTTACCCAGGGCAAAGAAATCAAAGCCTTACAAGAAGTAATTCAGAATGTAGAGGTAAACCAGGGGGAGTTGGCAGTGAAAGAATCCAGTAGAGATATACAACTGTTCTCATTTGGAAACCAGGCGCCTATTCCTCAGGAAGAACAAAATCTTCTAACTAAAGAAATAAAAGAATTGAAACAAAGAATAACTGAGCATCTAGAACAGCACAAAAACAACAGAATAAGGCTGCCTGCATTGAAGCTTGTTTCAAAGAAACAGCTAGCACAAGCATTAAAAGATGCAAATACTGCAATAGCAAGTATAAGCACCAATTCACTGCAAGAAACAAACCAACTAATGTACAGCACAGCTGCAGTTATAACAGAATACCTGGGATGTAAAATCAACAAAAAAGAAAAACAAACAAACAGTGCACCACAAAAATGGAAGGTTAGACTAGAAAATAAGATCAGCAAGTTAAGATCACATGCAAGCAAGCTAGAACAGATGAAAGAAAAGAAGCTGAAGAACAAGAAGACCAAAGAATACCTAATCAAGAAATACCACTTAGAAACAAGGAAGATCAAGGAAGCATTGGAAATAATAAAGCAACAAATAACAGCTATAGCCAGGAAAATCAGTAGATATGAAGCTCGAATTGCAAACTATAGGCAAAACCTCCAATTTCAATCCAATCAGAAATGTTTCTACCAATCCATCAATGGAGAAACTACAAGGAATCAGTCAGTACCTGACAAGGAAGAAACAGTGCAGTTCTGGAAGCAGATATGGGATAACCCAAAGAAATACAACAAGGATGCGGCTTGGTTAAAAGAGGTGGATGCAAATAAAACAGAAGTTGAAATGAAAGAACTAGTAATAACAACAAAAATGGTAGAAAAAAGAGCAAAGAAAATCAAAAATTGGTCAGCACCAGGTGAAGATGAACTGCATGGGTTTTGGTTGAAACATCTAACTGTTATACACCCACTCATTGCCAAGCAGTTCAACAATATACTACAGGGAGGAGAAATTGAAAAGTGGCTAACAACTGGGAAAACCTACCTAATAATGAAAAATCCAGCAAAAGGGGCAACAACACCAGGTAACTACAGGCCAATTACCTGCTTACCAACAACTTTCAAATTACTAACTGGTGTGGTAGCTGATGCAGTACAACAGCATCTAGTTGAAAACAATCTCTTTCCACCTGAGCAGAAAGGAAACCGCCCCAATAGCAGAGGAACAAAAGATCAACTCCTAATAGACAAAATGATCTTGGAAAACTGCAAGAGAAGGAAGACCAACCTGAATGTGGCATGGATTGACTACAAAAAGGCATTTGACTCTCTGCCACATGATTGGATAATAAAGTGCCTAGAAATAACAGGAGTCAGTAGAAACATCAGAAAATTTGTGCAAAGATCGATGGCACAATGGAAGACACAGCTGCAGATCAATGGTGAGAAGCTGGGAGAGGTTAATATCAAGAGAGGAATATTTCAAGGAGATTCATTATCACCATTACTATTTGTTATTGCACTGTTTCCTCTGTCAACAATACTGAATAACTCAGGACATGGTTATCAAACATCAAAAACATCTGCTAGACTATCCCACCTCCTTTACATGGATGATCTGAAGCTGTATGGAAAAACATCATCTGAAATAAAATCGCTGCTCAACACTGTCCGTATATATAGCCAAGATATTGTAATGGAGTTTGGCTTGGACAAATGTGCCACACTTACTATCAAACAAGGAAAAATAGTGAAAACTGAAGGAATCAAGATGCCCCACGAAAATAACATTAAGAGTCTGGATGAGGAAGAGTACTACAAATACTTGGGTATCCTTCAAGCTGACAACATCAATCACACTGAAGTCAAGAAAAAGATTAGAGGTGAATACATCAAGAGAGTGAAGAAGATCTTAAAGTCCAAACTCAATGGAGGAAATACCATAAGGGCAATCAACACCTGGGCAATCCCAGTCATTAGGTACACAGCTGGAATAGTGGACTGGACTCAAGCAGAACTAAAAGCAATGGATAGGCAGACCAGAAAAATAATGACAATGAATCATGCCCTTCATCCACGCAGTGACATTGATAGACTTTATCTACCAAGGCAAATAGGTGGGCGTGGAATGCTACAAGTACATCAGATGGTTGAAGAAGAAAAAATGGCTTTGGAAGAATATCTGAAGAACAATGATGAAGATGCACTGAAATTAGTATATCAGGAAGGTTTACTAACTACTGGAGAGACCAAACTGGCCTACAAGAAAGATCAAATGAAGAACAGAATAGAGACATGGGAAGACAAAGCACTACATGGCCAATACATGAAAAAAATAGCTGGGAAAGCAGATAATAATAAAACCTGGCAATGGCTAAGAGCAGGAAAATTGAAGAAAGAGACCGAGGGACTAATTCTGGCTGCACAAGACCAAGCCTTAAGGACAAATGCATACAAAGTCAAAATTGAGAAGACAGCAACAGACAGTAAGTGCCGCCTATGCAAAGAAGCTGAAGAAACAGTGGACCACTTGGTAAGCTGTTGCAAGAAGATTGCACAGACTGATTACAAGCAGCGGCATGACAAAGTAGCAACAATGGTGCATTGGAAGATCTGCAAAAAATATCATTTGCCTGTAAGCAAAAACTGGTGGGATCATAAAATAGAGAAAGTCATAGAAAATGATAAAATTAAACTGCTCTGGGACTTCAGAATTCAAACAGACAAGCACCTGCAACATAACACCCCAGACTTAACAATTGTCGATAAGAAAGACAAAAAAG